CTTTTTGTCCGGAGCTTATCTCAAAAAGTGTTAAGAGGTATCAACTTTAAACTTCATAGGTGGTAGATTTCATTGAGGAGTGCAGCGTACAAGAATGATAACCCTACCGTGTATTATTTTCTTTGGTGTTCACTCCAGTTCAGGTTGAAAGTTGCCAAATTACTTCTCCAGTGTCAGTTTCATTATAAACCCACTTTATCCCTTCACAATAAAGACATGAAAGATAGTAAATACTTAGAATTACTAAAATTAATTATTGTACAACTATTTTGCTGATATTGCTTCTATATATATATATAAAATGTTATATTTGGTATTCAACAGGTACTTATATACCCGGCAGAAAAGGAATGTAAAAAAAACATTCCAAGAGAAGACGGGCGAGGTCACAGTGAAACCCCTTTCCAAGCTGGGAATATGGTATTTCCAGGTCTTAGTGTAGATGTTAATGTTTCTTTATTATATACTTATAAATGAAATATTGAGAAATATAGATGAAATGAATGCTTACTTTCATTTTCCGTATTTTCACTTTTTTATCTCCTACGTAGGAGTTATAAAGTCCTACGTAGGAGTTGCAAAGTCCTACGTAGGAGTTATCTTTTTTTATAGAACATGTTAAATTGGCACCAGGACGCTTCCGTATAAAACAGTTGAATAACATTGAAAGAAAAATACATTATTAGCGAATGAAAAACATCGACACAAGTCGACATCATGAATTTTGTCATACTAAACTCTATATTCTAGATAAGTTGTCAACCAAGATATTTATAAGTTCTGTTCATATATTTCTCAAATTGAACATTATAGAAATAAAATTGAATTTACCATTTATTTATGTTATATTTCCATATTAAATAGACTTTTGTAATGAAATGACACGGATCCAATGGGGGATTTAAGTTAAGGGGCTGAAGGCCCCCCCCCGCCCCCAAAACCCTGGTCTGATTTTTTTCTTTCAAAAAAGGCACATTGAGAGTAAAATATAACATAAATCAAAATCCTTGTTTACTGGAATTATTGGAACTTGGGCCCCAGCTGAGCTTTCTGTAATGAACTTCTTAAAGTCAATTTTGTCGGCATAATGGCTTAGACTTTACATACATACAGACACTACCTACATGTAGATGACCCTTGGTCAGTGTAGAGGCAGATAAAGCGCCTACATTATAGTGAGTAAATTAGCCTAAGAAAAGAGCCACTTACTCCTAGTACATCTAAGTTCATGAAGCGCAAGTGATGTAAATTTTAATTAAAAACATTTTCAACGTATCGCATTTTAGGGTTTATATCATACATTATCAGGGTTTTTTCCTACCTAAAGCAGAACCATTTAGGGGCATCTTACCATCTGGAAGAGAAAAACAGTTTTCCTATAGATTTTTTGCTTTCATTTTTGAAAAAAATAATATGTAATTCCTGTGAAAATATGAAGACATGTGCATCTAAAAGGCACCAAAAAACCATCAGTTATCAAGTTTCTTTTTTTACTGGTGGAATCACTTAGACCCCCGCCCCTCTCAAAAGAGGGAGTTTAGTCATTCCAAACATAAAATAGAGTAAAACAGATTCCCTAAAGAAATTCCAACACAACAAAATTGAAAATGTTGCAGGCTCGGTTTGATTGAGCCTGTTCGGAAAGTGCAAGTTACCGTCCACGCCCCCTATCACCGGCTTAAGCAGAATTCAACATTTAACACGAAAGTGGTGAAATTTTGAATTTAGAGACATCCGCAGATGTGTTCATACGGCGGTTATCATGGAACCTTCAATGTGACACAGTAGTGCCATTCCATGAAAAGCGGCGTATGGTCCCCAAGTAAAAAAATGCTTTTGCCCTAAACGAGAAAACAATCGGCGGAACTAAATAAAATGGAATTTTGAAAGGGCATCTGAGGTTATGAAGCCTGCATATCACAGATAAGACGTCAAAATACAAATTTAAAAAGCAGGCAACATATCCTAAGGGTGATTATACAGTATTCAAGTAGGAAAACTGGAACCACCCAAGTTGAAAATGGCCAAAAAGAAGAAACTCAAAGTACCACATAACATGTTTGCACAACAATTATGCTGTGCTGAACGATCTTCAAGGATCGAAAATATAGTATCATTGATTAAATGCACGTGGAGATTTTAAACAGCCGCCACACGGCACAAATAACACGGATGTGACAATAAACCACCCGACGAATTTTTATGGTTCGGCTATGTAATAACAGAGTAAGTCTGTAAGTGTACTCGAATGAAATTCCCTCCCTTAACAAATCTTGACTTATTTTATAGTCTGCACAATAAGAGTGCACTGTTCCTCCACATGTATTTAAAATGCCCCTGTTTGTTGAGGAAAATATTACTTTTTTAATAAAATAATTTATGTTTGACCAAAAATGGAATTAATAAAATTTAGAATATTACAATGTTTCTGTATTTATCTATTTCATATCACTTGTACGAAAAAAGGACTGGAGCCTGACGCAACTATTCGAAGAATTATCCTTCTCATCTTGATGTCAGTGTCCGCGTTGGCAAACAACTTCTGTTAAATATTTTGAGGCAACGTCCAACCTTGTAAAGCATCGAATTTCACGAGCCACTAAAATATATTTTGCTTGTAACTTGAGATCCTCCGTAATAGGAGATGCACAGCCAATAACTCTAGCATTGTGTTTGACAGAATTATGGACCATTTTAATCTTCCTTAATTTAACTCATGTAATATAAATGAAGATTAATGATCATGAGTACTGAAGGTATTCATTTGAAACTACACATGCCTTCGGGATCATAATTGGATGTCACTTTCCAAAACAATATTTATCCAAAACTCGTAAATCTATTGTGGGTTTTACTGAATTATGGTCCTTTGTGAACTTACTGAAGGTATTCCGTGACCATAAATAGAGGTCACTGTCCAAGGAACATTACTCTGACATTGACTGCCATCAGCCCTTTGTTAGCTCGGGAAATTCTTGGTCAAAGAGACTACAATGAGGACAAAAAGTCTAAAAATCAAAATTTCAATTTCTTCCATAGGTCAGCTGGGGCACTTAAAACAGAACTATAAGCAAAAGATGATTAAGAAATATACACAAAATTAAATTTGAAATCATACTTTGTGCTTTTCTTAGCCTGATTTGAGTAAACAGCGTTGTAAAGCTTTGCAAGTTTGAGTCATTTTCCAAAATTAAAATAATTAATCTGGGAAAACAGAGAGGGTGCATAATCTGAAATTTTGCATTCAAGTTATTGAGCAGAACCTCTAATGGAACATTAATCGAAAAATCATTTCCAGTCTTGTCATGCCAAATGACCTCGGTGTGTTTATTTAAATATTAGTATGTAACATCAATTTTCGGAACCACATATAAATGTATATGTTTTCGGGGTCATAAATGGAGGTTTCTCGCTGAACATAGTTTAAACATAGTAATAGCCTTTTTTGAGGTTAGAAAATTCTTTGTTAAAGTTTTGCAAGTAAATCAATCTTAAGAACGACATGTATATACTGGTGGTACTCATTTAAAACTTAAACACATAAGTTTCGAAAGAAAACAGAAAATATTCACGTGAAACCTAATACATTTCTTAGGGTCATAATTGGATGTCTCCTTCCAAGCGTAGAATTTTCAAGGGGCAGGACGTGAAGTGGTTGCACACTTGGTTCAAGCGAGCGAATTAGTTGCAAACTTGACAAAATGGCAAACACGGCGTGATTTTTTGAAACGGGTGAACGAATTTTTGCCAGGCAAGTGGGTTTTTTTGTTATTTTGATGTTCATTAGTATGTCTATTCCATAATGCAATATATATGCCACACTCGGTTAAAGGTTTCAACGTCATAGATTCTGCTTTCACCGAAAAAAGTCCATATCAATTCGGTGCAAGGTTGCGTAAGAGATGTTGCACATTACATAATCTCTCATGAAATATCAAACCAAGTCTGCTATTATCATTTACTATTATTGTGTTCATTGCTTCCAACCGATCATCGTTCCCAAATTTTTATACCTTACAACAAACAGCAGATGTAAAGTACCGTGTGGCAGCTGTAAAACAATTGACCCGTTTTTTTCACTTCAATGTTGTTATATTTTTGTGGTCCTCCGATAACATTGAGTACTGAACATTGAACACCGCTCAAGTCATTGTTAGGAGACCGAGAGATGTGGCCTTGTTTTTCATATTTTATTACATGAGCTCTAATAAACAGACTGGATCAAACCGAGTCTGCTATTCTTTTATAATATTGCTGTTTTTATTACTTCCGAGAGATCACCTTTTTTTAGAATTTGAAATTGATATAAAGACTTACCACAAAATTCATTTTATACCAAGCAAGGGGATCATTTTTGTATGGAAAATCCGTCTTGTATGTCGCGTACATCATACCTGCTATTTAGTTAAGACAGGCTTGATATTTCGGAAAATTTCTGAGGTCCAATTTCACCCTATAAAAACACTTATTGATTATTTTATTTTTGTTACTGGCCTAGTCGCAAACAGTTATATCACTGTAAAAAACTCTTTAACAAGAACTGATTTTTAACAGACTTATTTAGATAAAAAATTCTTACTTTGAAGAAATCAGAACAAAAATCAACATACGAATACTACGTTCTCAGATCGTAGCTCCCGACACAACACAAAGGCAGACGCCTGATCAAAGTAATTCGTCCGTTTCCATAAATCTAATAACTTTTACTAACTAACTTACTTTTTTTATATAATTTTCATGAAAATATGCCTGTCAAGAAGGAAAGAAATTTGAAACAAGGACATATTCTGAATAGAATAATAACAGAATAATTGTGAAGCAATGCTCCTTAGATTCATTATAATTAAGAATTAATATCGGTCTTAGCATTGTATGTCGGCTGTGTAACACCGGTTAAGAGTTTTGATGCACAGGATTTGACCACAGATAAGGGAAGTCACTAACTCATTTTTTTTTCAAGCGGAGATTATTTCACGGAGGGAGAAAAAAAGAACAGCTGCATAAAAATTAAAAATAGTTCCTTATAAGTGTTTCACAGTTTTTTTTTTCTTTATGTATAGTGACAAAATCATGAGGCATGTTACAATAGATAGGACTATATAAGGAAAAAGACAAACAAAGAGAAAGAATTAAACAGAAAATGTGGATAAACATTACATATAATAAAGACGATATTTGAATGAGTGATGGTTCAATAATGTTTTTATTGAACGAGTTGAATAAAATTATATTATACGAGCCACTGGCAAACACCATATATTTTATTCAACGGGTTCAATAATTCAGTATTGAAGCAACTCGAATGTAATTTTCTTTTTAGCACATATCAAAAATAAGAACTGTTAACAATGAGCCACGTTTTCACTGACGTGTATTTAGCGTGTCTTACACTATGTTTGTATAATCCAAATAACGTCACGTCAAAATATGTGCAAGGGCGTACACTACTGTTTTTACGCGGTCACAAAAGTGACATAGGTATGTGATAAAGAACTTATGTACACTTTTTTTAGTATTATGATAAGGTATTTTCTTTTCAACAATATATAATGTTGTATTATCAGAAATTAATAAGCTATGATTATGTAAATTGAATACAGTCTTGAAATGCATTTCTGATTATTATACTTTTTCAAGAATGTGATGTGTATTTTCTTCACTTTCACCAATGCGGACGTCATCATTTTCCTTAACTTTATGAGTTTGAAGGTCAGACTCATCCATCTTTTCTAAGTTAAAATAATCATGACCGCCATCTTTGAGACCATCCTCAGACTTTTCACCTATGTTTGATTCTTGCTTTACTACGCCACCAAACGCTCTTGTTTCGTTGCCATTGGTTTTCTCAAGTGTGAAGTAATGAGCTTCATTTGAACGATCATTTGTTCCAGAATTCCCTGTACTTTCATCTAGCTGAACAGAACCTTCATCTTCTCTGTTTGCTAGTCCTGTATATGTATGCTCATTGTAAGCTTCTGCACTTGCATTTTTATAAAAATCTAATCCAGCATGTTCTTTAATTTCAAGAGGATTATACACATGGTCTCTTGTCTGGCTATTCTTTTGTTGAAAATTTCCATGAAAGTCTTCTTTCGATATGTTTTCTTCTTTATTTGTCACGTCTGATTGTGTGTTAGATTCCAAGTGTGTGCCAAGTTCGTAATAGACATGCTCCTTGATAACTTTATCGTTATTGCCAATGTTACTTGTCAGCCTTTCGTTAGTCATTTCAACACTTTGCATTTTCATTTCAGAACTTGCACCAACCTATAATAACATATATTTAGAAAACGTTTTTCAATGGAAATAAATGAACAAGGGACAAATTTTGTAAAATATCATGCGTGAAATATTTCATTTATATGAAGATAGAATATCAGCTCTTAAATAACGCTTATTGTAATACATAAAAATGAACTTTAGACAGATTGAAATAAATGAAATAATGAAAAGTTTATTACTTTGGTATTCATCGGAACATCAATAACAGTTTCACCTTCTTCCTTAGCAGCCGGTCTCTTTTGCCTTTAATAAAAAATTATGACTTAACGAAATTAAGCCTAATTAAATGTTTTTTTTTTCTTATTTAATATTTATGCAGTAAAATCCAGATAGTTGTTATTCAAAATCTCATTCATGGATCTTGTTATGTAGTCTTAGATACTTTATGACAGATATCCTTTTCATTGTTATTAACTTGCTTAAATCATATGTCCCTTGATATACAACAATGAAACAGATGTTATGATATAATGAGGACGTAACATATTTTTTAAAAGAAACAAATGTAAAATTTGTTTTCAGATCTAAATCTAAAGATTATTTTCTTTGGCCTTCCCGTATTAGCAATACATTATAATCACAACAAATTTATCATATTAGATAACAAATTTTAATCAAAATGTTGTAATAAAGATGTCATAACTCGACCACTTAGTAAAATGGATGTATTAAATGAATGTTGCTTGAATAACACGCGGCCAAGTAAAACAATAAAGAATATGGCATATTAAAGTGAAATAGCGAAAGTCTCTAATTTCGGGAAAAGTTAAAGACAGAACATGCTGTGTTTACAAGAAAATATTTCAAATTGGTAAGAAATCATTTTTACTGTACATTGTTATAACAACTTATTGCAGTAAAGTTCAAAGTTACGTTCAGGTAGTATTCTATTTAAGTAAATGAGCCATCAATTAAGGATAACTTTAATATTGTTGATAAGTTATTAACTGATAGTAATTAATAAAAAAAAAAATTTAACAGCCATTTGAAATTAATTGACCGACATGACTCCGGAAACTAAAAGAGAAAAGTCGTATAATTTCATAATCCCTGTTTCTAATAAACAGATATTTATCTAGAAACTCGCATGGTCAAACACATCTTTTTTAATTATACATTGACCTCAAATCGGACTGATGACAACCTTATTACGTATAATTATAAAAAATAAACGTAGTACCTGTTTTGTAAATATCGGATGAAAAACACAGTGATAAAGGTACACAATATACCAGCAATAAAGGATACCACACTGATAATTACTACAGCTGATGTTTGTAGACCATCTTCCGTTGTCTTTTCTTGACGTAGACTGTGTTCAATATAAGATGTTGTGGTTGCTGCCGTTGTTGCTGCTGTTGATGTTGTTGTTGTTTCAGCTTGTGTTGTTCTTGTTGTAGCGCATACAGTATCACAGGACGAGGGAGATGAGGCTGGACAATTTTGGCAATGATTGATTCCTTGTATTGAAGTAATTAAACTTTCACAAAACTCAATTATACGATGTGGTTCTATGGATGGTTCTGGAGTCTCAGGTGGCTTCAAATGGAGAACAATGTCAAGTTTCTTACATTCATTTTGCTGACTTGCATCTGTCGAACATAATAATTCATTAACATTTTCTTCCCTCACTAATATATTGGCCTTGAATATTCCAAGCAAGTCTTGATAGGAACATTCATTACAAGTGAGCAGTCCTAAAAATATTTAAAAAAGATAATTAATTTATTAAAATCTTTATGATAAAATAGTGATGGTATTCGTTTACAGGAATTAAATACCTAACGGTTTTGAAAATAGAGCAAATATAAACAAGAGATTAAATCCAAATTCATAAATATATACTTCTTTTCTTCTTTAAAAGGAGAAGACATGTGTCTATTCATTTTTTCTCAATATATAAAAAAAACATATTAGAGACTCATCGCCATATCCTAGTAGGTTTGATGTCAAATTATTAAAGGTAGCAAAGTGTAAACAAATCCATACAAAAAACTAAATGACTGTAATAAATATGCTTAGTTCCAACATGCATACGATGCAATGAATAATTCAGCTAAATGATCAATGAGTACTTATTAAAAATCTATCAGGATATCAAAACTAAAATGTTTTAATGAACCAAAAAAGAATTTGGGGACAAATTGGCCCTTATAAAATTTAGATTATGTTTTGATCTAAAAGTACACATAAAATGAGTCGTAACTAAGAGGGAAACTTTTAAAAGTTAGTTAGTATCGATATAGATTGTAATACCATCTAAGCAGAATTTCTGTAGATATGCCATAATTTCCGTATATACATCTTCCTTTGTGTAGCTTTTACTTCTATCAAAAAAGAAAAATATAGGATTGATTTATCACATATATTGGATAAATGAACATGAACATATAATATCTGAACACATATAGATTGAAAGAATTAACAAATGCATCCCGAATCCGTATAGGAAAAAAAATGCAAACTGTAAATGTGATTATTAGACCGAATAATGTAAGTGGCAAGTGCCTAACTAGTTAACCATATCATACATTGAAAAGCTCAATTAAAAAACTAAATCTCGCGGTAAACATATGTCTGTCACGCACCTGGTACACAAAATAATCATGCATACTGAATATGCAGAACTAAATGTATATTCCGAGTACCTAAGAGCACCAACATTCAAAAGATTAATAGAAATTCAAAACTCATTAATGAGCCGTGTCACGACAAAACCAACATAATGGCTTTGCGACCAGCATGGATCAAGACCAGCCTGCGCTTCCGCGCAGTCTGATCAGGATCCATGCTGTTCTCTATCAGTTTCTCTACTTGTAATAGAGTTGGTAAGCGAACAGCTTGGATCCTGATCAGACTGCGCGGATGTGCAGGCTGGTCTGGATCCATGCTGGTCGCAAACACACTATGTTGGTTTTGTCGTGACACGGATCATTTGGTTTTATTTCACAAAATTGTTAATACACAAATATTTTTAAAGCTCTCACTGAACAAGTAAATATCATTCATCTTCTACTATGTGACTTAATGTGTCAATGAATATATTGAATACCAGACTCAGAGTTGCGTACTGAAAATCACCCAAAATCTTATTTTTTAAACTTGGTATCTTGATTCCTAGGAAAACAGTTGAACGGTGATATGACATATCTAAGTGTTATGTCCAAAGTATATCCGCAGTAACACAATACTGTAGGTCTTCAGCATGCTCAAGTTTATTTCTTTTTTAATAAGGACAAAATGCGAACCATTATTTAAATACATGTACATGAATATGCTTGAAGAATAAGCAAACACACACACACGCACAAACGCACGCACGCACGCGCACACAATGAAATAAACATGTAGCAACTTTGAACGTATATGTAGTATTAATAGAAAAATGAAAAATATACTTACATGGTAAAAGGCTGGCCTGTTTTCAATGCTTATGTTGATATCATATGAAGAAAACGCACTGTTGGTTCAACTGTAAAGTTAATGCAATTAAATGTAACATTTGTAAATGTATACTTATAAATATTTTTAATTATACAAAATATATTTTCAAATATACATGAAGAACATAAATATAGAAAATTATCGCATACAAATAATCTTATGATGAACAAGTATTCATTAGGATAGAAAATAAGAATCTAACACTGGCTGCCGGTACAGAACGGAATATCTAGATCGAGGTTGACTGTTTACGGCGGTAACGAGGCTCTGCCGAGTTGCCGCTTAAACAGTTACCCGAGAGCTAGATATTCCCGTCTGCACCGACAGCCGGTGTTTAATTCTTTTTCTTGCATTTACATTCCAATTATTTTCAGATTAGAAATTTCGCAACCTGATATTCTCATTACTCAGTTTTTTCTTATAGTAGCGTATGAACTTACAACTTCATTCGTAACGGTTAAGTGACGTCATCCTAAGAATGCAATTCATTCATGAAAGGCACGCGTAAAGCACGCGACTGTGTAAGACAGGTTTTCTAGCACCGATGTAAAAGGTAAATAATCCTGTCTGACATGCAAGAATAAATGTTATGGTACAGAATATAAAATTAGAGTTATACAATATAAATATTGGATATAGGCCAAAAACAGATTTATTGAATTTTGCAACGTTTAAGTATAGTTAAATGTTTAATAATACGCATTAACAAAAATAATTGGTCAAGCGTGCCGCAGGCACGCGACCAATTCTTTTTGTTAATGCGTATTATTAAACATAAACCTATTTAATGATCAACAATATTTTCAACACAAGGCATTTCTACATTGTCGTCGATATCCTTGCCCTTTCGCACCTGCACTTATACTCAACAAGATGTCTACACCTAGGCAAGTTTCTTACATGTCACATTAAGATAAGCTAAACAAGCAATTATCATAGTATTGCAAGCAATCCATAAGTCCCCTACCGGTAAGAGCCCAAGCAACATTCTGAAGGGCCATTCACTTATGTTCCTATTTTAAGTTAATTTGTTGAAAAAGTTCTTTAAAAGTGATCACAGGAAACAGTTTTTATGTACAGACAGACGGACTGAAGGACACTCTAAAGTTATTTTTTAAACATCCCTGTTATCAAAATATATCATTTTTAAAATCCTATCATGATTGAAGAAGTTGGAGTAAAAATTACCAATTTCTCAAAAAAAAAGTCTAAGTTTAAAAAGGGGCATAATTCTGGAAATAGTCTTGCTAGAGTATTGAACACTCACAAATGTTGAGTGACAATAAGAAACATTTATATGAAGTTTGAAGTAGATACATTTAGAAAAAGAAGTTATTAAAAAAAAACAATGTTTTTTTCATGAAAATTCTAAGTTCAAGGGAGGTAATTCTGATAAATTTTGTACTAGAGTTGTAAACCTTGCCACATAGGATATGGTTGATGACAAGCAACTTATATTTAAAGTTTGAAGAAAATACCTTAAGAAATAAAGAACTTATAGTGAAAAAAACTTAAAAACTAGAATAAGAAATCTTGAAATTCAGTCTATTTGTTGCCATAGCAACCAGAATTTTCAACATAGGAAGATAAGAAAAGGATGTGCATAATTTCCATACTGCCATCTACCCATATGTCAAGTTTCATAAACATATTTTCAGTACTTTTTTGTGTTATCACTGGATCCAGGTTATGTGTAAATTTGCCATATTTTCAGTCTATTTGTTGCCATAGCAACCAGAATTTTTCAACATAGGAAGAAAAGAAAAAGACGTGCATAATCTCCATACTGCCATCTATCCATATATCAAGTTTCATAAAAATATTTTCAGTACTTTCTGCGTTATCGCGGGAATCCAGTTTATGTGTAAAATTTGTCATATTTTCAGTCTATTTGTTGCCATAGCAACCAGAATTTTCAACATAGGAAGAAAAGAAAAAGACGTGCATAACCTCCATACTGCCATCTATCCATATATCAAGTTTCATTAAAATATTTTCAGTACTTTTTGCGTTATCGCGGGATCCAGTTTTGTGGACGGACGGACTGACGGACGGACGGACGGACAGACGGACAGACGGACGGAGGGTAAACCTAAAGTCCCCTCCGGTAAACCGGTAGGGGACTAATAAATGGCTTTTTCAACATATCATCAGAAATAAATTTTGTACTGAAATTTGAATTGTACTGATTTTTGTACTAAATAAGATTGCCCCGAATTTATACCTTTGTCTACAATAAGACTACCAAGTTTCTATAAATGTGTGAATAAAAAAGCGGGAAAATGAAGCAATCAGCTAAAAACAATGGAGGTAATGAAATGTCCAGATTCTTTTAAAATAAATGGAAAATGTGAGAAAAATACTTTTGAGATTATTAATTGATACAAATTCGTTATTTGATGTAAGTTATTCACTAACCTATTGATTTGCTCCTTTGAAAAACAGATCACTTTTTATTTTTCTGTGTATCTATTTAGGACTACATGTAGAGGGTTCTATTTTCAATGAGTTTTCAAGCCACAAATGTAATCATTGTATTCTTAATATATTCTTAGGATTGTTAGTGCAGTTCATTCCTGTCAAATGAAAGAAAATAAGGTTTTGCTTAAAAGAAAAATATAAAGTTTAAAACAGTCAGCAATTTATAACAGACATTTTTCATAGAGTTTAAAGGATATAAAAAAGTAACTCTCTGCGCCCTATGTTATACATTTGATTCTATCCTCACATTAAGAAACACCTGACCTCGCCTAATCAATTTATTACGAAGCATTGTTTTACAGTCAAAGAGTTGCAACTCCGTCGTACCTACATAATTTACATTTCAAAGTGCAAACCACACCTCTAACTCCTCCCTAATATAATGCATTATTGAAATTAGTTAGTCGGGTTAGACGACTGATTAAGAAAATCTTATTTAGTTAGTACACATAAACCAAAGTTAGACTTAGCAGAACTGCAAAGTAATTGGACGAAAGAAATAATGTTGATCATTAACATGCCGTAGCTATTCTGTGTACGCATATGTTGGCGACCTTACGTATACTGATCTAAGGTAAGCGTTTAATTTTTTTATAATGTTGGACGTTTTATACGATGCGTCTTGTATTTATATTTTATGGGTGGATTTGTTTTCAGTTTGACAATATGGATTATATAGCAACATGTTTTCGATTAAGATCATCATATTGAAGCTTCAGTTCATGCTGATATGGTGGTCTAAATGAAATAGATGCTGTACAGTTATGTTTGAGTGGCTCATAACCTGTGTGATTATAGATATCTTGATTAAAGAAAATATGCACAGATAAATGACAATTAAAAAAATAAAATGACAGAAAAAGTTAAGAAAACATAAAGCAATCAATTGAAAAAACAATGCTCTTTCTAAATTCTTAAAGTCGTCATGCCCTGAATACCAGCTACGATATTGATAACATAGATAAGGACAGAAATCACACGGTTTATTAACGACGTACATTAATCAAGGTTTCCTATTATGTCTATTTTCAAAACAAGTACGAGTACGCGAAAGATATAAACGTGGCAAAAAATCTTTGTTGATAATGGTAGATAATGGATATCAAATGAGTTAATAATTGAATTATGTATCGTGTTTGATTTTAAATTAAAAAAAAATATTATTAGAGCAGAACATAATTTTACTTTCGATTAATCTTTTATTAAATTACCATATGAATATAAAAAATAATGTCACATTTATTTTAAAAAAATAATAATATAGAATTTGATATAAAGCATCGAGTTTCATTTATAGATTGAGATTGAACACCAACGGTTTAAAAAAATCAAATATATAATTTACGATTATAAAGCAATTTG